TCCTCCTCCTCCTCCTCCTCCTCCTCCTCCTCCTCCTCCTCTCCCCCTCCTCCTCCTCTTCCCAGGATCCAGGATTCTCCTCCTCTTTCCTTTTCTCTGTTCCTCTTCTTTCTTTGCCCCCACAAGCGCCCTTTCTGCTTCCTCCCTCTCCCTATTCTCGTTCCTCTTCCTTCCCCTCCTCGACTTCCCTTCATCCAGGACCTAAGGATCTGGACCCCTGCGCCCTCAGACTCTGGAGTCCCAGTTCCCTTCTTTCTGAGGTCACGCAGTCTTCACCTTTGCACCTCCGCAGACTCAGGTGTCCAAGCACCCCACCCCATCCTCACTAGAGCCCTGGCGTCCCTCCACTCCTGTCTACTCGCTATTTCTCGCCCTTTAGAGCATGCAAGAGGAATGCGGGGCGGCCCTGCGCTGCCTCCTGGGAGTCTGGAGACTCCATAAAGGGCTCCTCCTGGAGACCCACCTGTCCCTGCTAGGCTAGAGCCACTGCAGTCCCAAGTCCTGGGAGCGGGAGAAGGTCGCCGACATGCCTGAGGCTAAACCAGGTGGCTGGCCCAAAACTTTCTTGGGGGTGGGGGTGGGGTGGAGGGTAAGGTGCAGACAAGGGGAGGAGGGGGTCCTTTTCCTGTATCTAGGTTGAGTGTGGGTTCCTTCTCTGCTTGAGGAAGAGGGACCCTTTCTGTGTGCCCAGACGGGTTCCCTCCTAGTGCAGGACGGTGAGGTCTCTTGTCTGTGTAGGCTCGGGAGTCCCACTTCCTTTTCTGGGACTGGAAGACCCATCTTGGGTAGAAATTATAAATTAGCCTCGGTTTTTTCTCCCTTTCCGTCTCTCCTTGCTCCCTCATCCCATCCCCACCCTAAGCCCTCTAGGCTGTCTGCAGCCCAGGCCCAAACTCATTCTGGAGCTAGGCTGGCTGGGAAGTACTAATCTTGCTGCCTCAGTCTACCAAGACTGGATGTCAGGCATGTGCTACCACAGCCTGCTAGGTGCCTCCCTCCCTCCCTCCCTCCCTCCCTCCCTCCCTCCCTCCCTCCCTCTCTCTCTTTCCTTTCTTTTCTTTCTTTCTTTCTTTCTTTCTTTCTTTCTTTCTTTCTTTCTTTCTTTTGTTCTTTCTTTCTTTTCAAGACAGGGTTTCTCTGTGTACCCTGGCTGTCCTAGAACTAGCACAGTAGACCAGGCTGGCCTCGAATTCACAGAGATCCACCTGCCTCTGCCTTCCAAGTGCTGGGATTAATGGCATACACCACCACCGCCTGACAATACAATTTTTTTTTCTGGGGTGGGGGGGTGATCTCTTTTTCTTGAGGCCGATGGGATTTTGCTTGTGTACTGCTGGGACTCAGCTTGGAGATAGGGTCCTCTTCAGGTGGGAGAGCACTCTTGAGGTAGTTGAGTCTCCTCACTGAGTGAAGATTGGGGATCATGGGGTGCCTCTGTGGACACAATAGCACTCCATGTGCATGGAATGATACTCTTTTGTGTGAATATGAGGACCCCCTTGGTGTGCAAGTTGGGCTTCTGTGAAGGAATTATGTGTCTCTCTTCCACAGTTGGAGTCCTCTTTTTCTTGCTATGCTGGGGATCGGGACCAGAGCCTCCTACCTGCTTGGCAAATACTGGCCATGTCCTAGCATCCCAGTCTCTCTTCATGCACAGTTAGACATACTCCTTGTGGGGGGGGCAGGGACAGTCTATATGCTGGTTGTGTCTTTCTCTTTTTGTGGAAGTGGGCACTGCACACAAGCCCTGATGTCACCTACCCTGAGGTGGCTGGTCCCCTGGGGGTCAGCCCAGCCAAGTTGAGGTAGAGACCAGCTCCCTTGCACAGACTGACCCATGGGTCAGTGACCCACACCACATGGGAGAGTGCTGTGGTCAGCACTAGTGTCCAGTTTCCAGCCCAAGGGAAGGGCTAATTATACCCCAAACCTGAAAGGTCAGGCTGATGGCCAGAGGCTGGGGTGAGGCTACAAGGGGAGGGGGAACCTGACTCCATACTCAGGGTTAGGATCAACTTATGCCTGGACTGGGGGGTCTGTACCCCACCATACTTACCTCCATCTGAGGAAGGAGGATCTTGAGGAGAAGATTTGAGGCCTGGACCCCTAGTTCTGAGGACAAAGGTCTGGGTCTGGCCTCTGGATTCTGAGGAGAGAACCATTTTATGCTGAAGTCTCAACTTCTATGTTACAGCGGCCAAAAAGGCCCCCAAAGGCAAGGATGCCCCAAAGGAAGCCCCAGCACAGCAGACTCCTGCAGAGTCCCCCAAAGGTGAGGCTCCGCCAGCTCTCTCCTCCTGGCCCTTCTCCACACTGTTCTAGACTGCCTTCGTCTCTTTCCTGTAGCTGTTCTCACACAGGGTCAGACGCACGGTCCTTCCTGGCTTCCCAGCATCCCAGGCTGGCACCTCTCTCGGAGCGATGTCTCACGCAATTCTTGCCCAGTTCCCAAAGGCTGTGCCCATATTTACATGCCTTTTACCCCAAAGTTCATTCAAGACCATTCTGACCATAACCTGCTGGTCACGGACAGGGAAACTGTGGCCCTAGGGACTGAGGGAGCCTAGCAAAGCTTATGCCCTCTGAATTAAAATCCAAGTCACCCCTGTGATTTTTAGCTTTCTGAGCAGAACACTTACTGACTCCTCCAGATCACTGCTGACCCCCTAATCCTTTCTCCTGAGCAGAGGCCCCACCTGAGGACCAATCCCCAACTGCAGAGGAGCCCACAGGCATCTTCCTGAAAAAGCCAGACTCTGTGTCAGTGGAGACTGGTGAGCACTTGGGAAGAACAGTCTAAAACCTGAGTCTGAAGGTGTAGAGTTCAGTCTGGACCCCTGGATCTGAAGGAGAAGGACTAAGGAGGACTCCTGGATCTGAGGGTGGAGAGCTAGGCCTGGACCTCTGGGTCTGAGGAAGGAGGCCTGGGTCTTGAGCTCAGGGTCCTCTCTGGAGAGCTGGGTTCCTCACTACCTCTCTCCTCCAGGAAAGGACGCGGTGATTCAGGCCAAGGTGAACGGGAAGGAGCTCCCAGGCAAGCCCACCATCAAGTGGTTCAAGGGAAAATGGCAGGAGCTGGGCAGCAAGAGCGGAGCTAGATTCATCTTCAAGGAATCCCATGATTCTGCCAGCAATGTGAGACCCACGATAGGACCAGAGGCGGGGCTGACTACCGAGCCGGTGCTAATGGAGCTTTGGCACCCCCTAGAGGGTGGCTGAGGTCTACAGAGTGGACCTAGGGCTGGCTGGCGCAGGGCTTTGGGGCCCGGGTGGGAACTTGGGGACTGTGAGTCTCAAGCACCCGCCACCCTGGCCCCCAGGTGTACACCGTGGAACTCCACATAGGGAAGGTGGTCATAGGGGACCGCGGGGATTACCGTCTAGAGGTCAAAGCCAAGGATGTCTGCGACAGCTGCGCGTTCAACGTGGATGTGGAGGGTGCGCTAGCGGGGGGCGCTGGCGGGGCTGGGGGCGCTGGCTGGGGTGGGATGGATGCGGGTGTGGAGATGGGGTGGTCATAGTCTCTTGGAGGAGAGGGTCCGGATTCAATAATGGGAAAGGGAAAGACAAGGTCTCCAGGTTTTGCATAGGAGGAGGTATAGACTTAGGGGTACAGGTGTTTAGCAATTTGGGATGTCCATGCAAAACCTTAGGAGGCTTCCAGGTTTGTGTGAGCTGAAGGCTTGGGTGGACAGGGCCTCCGGCCGCAGAGAACTTGGGTGTGTGGGTTCAAGAAGGGTGCGCAGCCCAGGCAGATTTAGGAGCAAGCACGGGTCCTGCAGCCTCTGGCGTTCTGCAGCTCAGTGTGTGAGGCTTGAAAGCAGGGGCTGCAGAAATGAGGTTGCCTTGGCCTGGGGACTAAGGACCTGCTGGCTGGAGGATGGGCATGGTGACCAGCAGAGTGGGCACTCCAAAGAGTAGAGAAGTTGTCCTGTTACACGCTTTTCACCTAGCACTAAAGATGAGGCAGGATGGTTGGTGTCAGCCCCAAGTGAGCCTGGGTTACACAGTGGAATCCTATCTCAAAATAAATAAATTAAAATAATAAATTAAAAATGGGAGATGTAAAAAGGTCTCTGTTCCACACACACACATGAGGGAGGGGGGAGGGAGAGAGAGAGAGCTGTCTAGGCCTGCAGAGAGGGGTGTTGGCCCAAAAGATGGAGGATAGTGTACCCAAAGAGGCTGTGAATTGTGAATGCCTTCACAGGGCATCCTGGTCTTCATTTGCCTTACCTCTCCCCATCATTCCCCAGCGCCCTGTCAGGACTCATCCGGTCAGAGCCTGGAGAGCTTCAAGCGCTCGTGAGTGCTTCTGTGTCCTGGGAAGAGTGCCTTACTGTCACTGAGAATCAAGGGATGTTTTTCTTGGGAGGTGGAGATGGGGGACAAGGAGTGGGGAGCCTGGGATAGATCTTAGTGGAATTCCTACCCCCTCTTAATGATTACAGGGGTGATGGGAAGTCAGAAGATGCAGGCGAGTTGGATTTCAGTGGCTTGTTGAAGAAGAGGTGAGTTGGCCTAGCTGGCAAAAGGGACAGGTGGGGTCACAGGAGAGGGACAGTAGCCAAAGTGCCAACACCTCATTTCTCCTTATGAACCTCCCTGAATTTTCTCCCTTTCTGTCCTCCTTTCCTCCCTCCCTCCCTCCCTCCCTCCCTCCCTCCCTCCCTCCCTCCTTCCCTCCCTCCCCTTCCTTCCTTCCTTTTTCTTTTCTTCTGCATGTGGTGTATGAGTGTGTGTGGTATTCGCTATCACTCTCCATTGTGTGTGTGTGTGTGTGTTTGTGTGTGTGTGCTTGTGTGTGTATATATATGTGTGTGCATGCATGTATGTGTTTTGAGACACAAGCATGTATGCTTGTGTGTGTGTATATATGTGTGTGCATGTATGTATGTATGTCTCACTATATTAGTTTGCCTGGCCTTGCCTGGAGCTTGCTATGTAGACTAGTCTGGCCTCAAATCCATAGAGATCTACTTGCCTTGGACACTCAGATGCTGGGATTATAGGCTCCTAGCGTTCCACTTTATTTTTTGAGATAAACTTTCTCACTGAGCTTGGAATTCAATAGACTGGGCTAGACCAAGGTAACAAGGTCTAGGTGTCCAGTTCTCTCCACCCCCAGCCCCGTATTTTATTTTTCATCATGCCTGTGGGTTTGTGCAGATGAGTGCCATACCTGCGCAGGCCAGAAGAGGGTGCTGGAGTCCCTAGAATTGGAGCTTCAGGTGATTGTGAATTGCCTGATTGAGGGTGTTGGGAATTGAATATGGGTTCTCTGGGAAAGCTGTGTGTGCCCACTGAGCATCCCTCCGGCCTCCACCCTAGGCTTTCGGTTTATTCCAGTACCATCTCATCTATATCTTCATTCCTTCCCATTAGCCAATCCATCCCTACCCTGCCCATAACACCATCCTGTCAGCCATCTGCCCAGCAAGCTCTTAAAGTCACCAGCTGTGAATCCACCCTGCTCACCCAGGCTTCTGCCCCGTACCGGTCCAGCTCAGCCTCCCTCCAGCCTACACCTAGCCATCACTGGTCCCCACCCAGCAATCCATGCCCTCATCCTCCATCCACCTAGCCGTCTCCCTCACATCTATCTGTTCCACGTATCTATCCTTCTCCCACCAGCTTCCCGGCTCTCCATCCACCCAGCTGCCATTACACTCGGATGTCTACTTGTTAATCCATCCCCCTCCACACACTCATTCCCTGCACCAGTAAGGTCCTTCCCCACTTCCCTGCCTGTTTATCCAAGTGTACCTGCATCTCTCCCCCACAGCACCCAACAATCTCCCCAGACATCTGCTCCCACACACACCCAGCCTGCCAGCCAGCCTTTTTCTTTTGTTTCTTTACCCCCTCACTGACATGAACCCTCACCCTTTGAGCCAACCCCTTAGAACTTTCTGTTAAATTTAACAGTGTGAGGTTGGTATTTTGTAGGTTAAAAAAAATTGCATGGGGGCTGTGAAGATGTCTCAATCAGTAAAGTGCTTGTTGTGCAAGTGTGAAGATCTGAGTTCAAATCCCCAGCACCTGTGTGCATGGTCAGGCGCAGAGCTGAGCTTCTGTAATCGTAACACACTGAAATGGGGATAGATAGATTCCTGGAGTTTGATGGCCAACCAGCTCAGGCAAGTCTGAGCTCCAGGTTCAGTGGAGACCAAGTGTGACTCAAAATTAAGGTGGGCCAAGGGAGATGGCTCACTGGGCAAGGGCTCATGTCATGAAGCCTGAGGGCCTTCGCTTAGGAATCACACCACAGGGGAGAGAACTGACTCCTGAAAATTGTTCATGCTACAGTGTGTGGGTGTACACACACACATACACACACACGCACACACAAGTGCATGCATACGTGAGCAAACACAAAGCACATGCACACGCACACACAATACAAGCATTAAAACATAAGATAGAAAAGTGACTGAGGAAAGACAGTTGATATCAACATCTGGCTACACACAGAGATGCACACCTGTACACACACATGCGCACACACATAGCAGAATGGATAGATTGTGACAATTTATTGTTGTTCTCTAAAACACTTATTCTCTCAGGTATCCACCATATTACTGGTCATGTGTCCGCCCTTCATGGCTTCATTTATCCCCCTGACAGCTCCACTTACTGACTCATTCCTCTGTGCGTTGGCCATCTTGTATCCACGTATGGCCCAGTACTTGTTTAACCCCTAGCTGTGTATCATGTGCCCTGCTATTCTCCACCCACCCATCCATTTGTTTATCTGTCCTCTCACCCTCTACTCTTGATACCAATACAATATTCACATCCCAAGCTCACCTACACACCTACTCTCTGTCCCTTCCTTCTTCCTTCTTGAAGATCTCTGCATGCATCCCTTCCTTCATGCACTGCACCTCTTGTGAGTCCTTCTGTCCGCTAGGCACTGGGCTGAGAGGCACAAAAAAGCCCCACTTGACCCTGGCCTGACTCCTTCAGTGGCTTGGGAAAACAAGACAGGTCAAAAGACAGGGACACACATGAGGCAGTTTGGTGTGGTTGGAGGAGGTGTCTGCAAAGATCTGAGAGCTCAGGGCAAGAGTAGGTCAGGTAGCCTTGGAGGACCACAGATACTTCACAGAGAAGAAAGCACTGGCATTAGGGTTTGTAGGATAGAAAGGGACAGAGTGCCAGGGGCATGAGAGGGTGGAAGCAACAAAGAGCCCTGGGAAGCAGAGAAGAGCCTGGAGTGCTAAGGACAGGGCGTGAAGCTGGTTTGAATGGCTGGAGTGCTGGTGGAAAGGTCAGTAGGTTTTGATTGCCAGAATGAGGAGCTAGGGCTCCCCCTGAAGGCAGTGAGGAGTCATAGCAATATTTAGAACAGGGAAGAGATGGTTTGCTGGTGTGGATGTTGAAAATGGTCTGTGGGGACCACGGGTGGAAAAACCTAGAAAGGAAGGTGACTGATAAATATTTGCTGGAAAAGTGATGAGTTGATGAGTATATGGGGAGAGAGTCAGAGAGGTAAAGGATGGATGGATGGATGGATGGGTGGACGGGTGCACGGGTAGGAAAAGAAAGGGAACATGGAAGGAAGGTCAAACAACAAAGTGCACAGTGGGGGGTGGGGAAAACCCTAATCTCCTCGATACTGGAGTCCCTGCTCCCACAGGGAAGTGGTTGAGGAGGAAAAGAAGAAGAAGAAAGATGATGATGATCTGGGCATACCCCCGGAGATCTGGGAGCTCCTGAAAGGGGCCAAGAAGAGCGAGTATGAGAAGATTGCCTTCCAGTACGGCATCACTGACCTCCGTGGCATGCTGAAGCGGCTCAAGAAGGCCAAGGTTGAGGTCAAAAAGAGTGCAGGTCAGCACTGACCCAAGGGAGATGGGCATGTCCCCCGACACAGGGGACACGTGCCCCAGACAAAGCCCAGGTCAGCACTGACCCAAGGGAGATGGGCACGTCCTCCGACACAGGGGACACGTGCCCCAGACAAAGCCGGCAAGTAGTTGACCTCAAGGGTCTCTAAGCCCACAGGAGCCTCCAGACTTGACCCTGGAACGACTAAGGTCTGGGAGGAAGACTTGACTCCTCTAGAGATGATCAGGGCAGAAAACTCTGCTTTCTGCCCCCTGGACCCTGAACTTAATGCTGATCATCTCCATACCCCTTGGTCTACCCTGTGGTCTTCTCATCCTAGCCTTCACTAAGAAGTTGGACCCAGCCTACCAAGTAGACAGGGGCAACAAGATCAAGTTGGTGGTGGAGATCAGTGACCCAGATCTTCCTCTCAAGTGGTTCAAGAATGGCCAGGAGATCAAGCCAAGCAGCAAGTATGTACAGGGCAGTTGCTGCACAGAGGGCGATCTGGAGTCAATGCCCAGAAATAAGAATGGGTTCCAACCTTTCCCTTTGGTTGTGTCCTTTATAATGACTGCTCTCATGCCAGGTATGTGTTTGAGAACGTGGGGAAGAAACGGATTCTTACCATCAACAAGTGCACGCTGGCGGATGATGCTGCATATGAGGTAGCAGTCAAAGATGAGAAGTGCTTCACTGAACTCTTTGTCAAAGGTGAGGCTGGCTCCAGACTCAACCTGGAGAGGGAGGAAGGGAGGGAGGGAGAGAGGGAGGGAGGGAGGGAG